AAAAAGGTAATAACCCATCAAAGGGTTTAGGATGGTGACAGGGAGAAAACATACCTTACTCTCATCGCCACCCTTATACTCCTCTTCCATCTTCTCCCAAATCCCAGTCCTCTCATACTGCTCCTCTTCGACTCTTCTCCTCTGATACCACTCCGTGGCCTCCTAGGTCTCATAAACGGCAGCAGGATGAACCTCATCATCCGGATCCTCACAGCACCACACCCGGAAAATCACCTTCTCGAGAGTCGGCGGCAGCGTCATTAGATCTTCCCAGCAGAAACTGCAAAAGAAGTGCGCGAATTCATAGTAGCCCTCGTCACTGTCATTGTCACTATCGTTCCACTCCTCGGCCTCCTCCTCGGCCTCCTCGGCCACACCCGGGCCTGAACCCGACAGCACTGGCCCGCTCGCGCTTGTGCTCGTGAGTTGCTGAATAGGGAGATAAAAAGGATCAGTGAAAACCACCTCCAGGGTTTTAAGCTGTGGTAGCGTCGTCAGCCAATGGAGGCAGGCCCTGAAATCGATTTGGGGTTGGAAACGAGATCCGTCCCGGGAGCAGGTACATCCGCCCCAGTGTAAGCTTACGTGGTAGATGTGCTGCGTGAGGAAAGTAGAGAACTGTAGCTGTTGGAGAATCTTATTGTGGGTTAAGGCTAGGGCTGAAGGTGTGGGGGTGCGATAGGCGCTGCCTAGATGGACCTGCGTGAGAGGAAGGACGTAGGCGACGTGCTCGTAGAATAGCTCGCTGCGGATTTGTTTGCAGGAACAGGCAAGGTTGTTGAAATTCGTTATTTGTTCGAGCTGCTGGGAGGCTTGCGTGGGTTGCTCGTCATTTTTGAGATGCTCTTTGGTGGATCTGGTGATGGTGCTGGTCATGGTCAGGATTGCGCGGTAAACCATACATCTCACCTCTGCTGGAAGGGAGAAGAAGGGGAACTTGCGCTCGTCTGTGAGACACATGTTGGATGATGGTAGATGTAGGGAAATGTAAGAAGTTATTGAAAGGCATATAGTGGTCGTCGAGGAAACGAGTTGCTGAATGTGAAAAATGTCGAAGGTACCTAATTTACCGAATGTAGGGAGAGAAGTTGTCGAGGTTGGCGGTCGTTAAGGGTAAAGGTCGTCTGGAAGGTGGGAAGATGTCGGTGGTACCTATTCAAGGTAGAGAGAGGGGTTGTTAAGGGTGGAGGTTATCGTGAGTGAAGGTTGCCGAATGTAAATGTAGTCGAAAATAACTCTTGTGAAAACAAATCTTGTCGAAGGTAGAAGTGGATCTAAGAAGAGGAGAATCTGTTAAAAGGTAATAGTTGTTGAAGTGCTGTGAAGATATGTTACGGAAGCCTTAATTAAGATATTTCAGGGAAATGTCGGAGGTAGAAAGTCGACGTTGGAAACTCGGCTTGACTGAAGTTGCTTAAGGGAAGAAGGGGAAATGGGAGCCAAGGCAGCCTTATATAATACCGAGAGCGGAGTGCCGGTGAATGGGGAGTCCATTGGCAGAGTTGGGTGGAAGCTGTCTCTAGATTAGATTGAACTAAGGTTCACCAATGTGCCAACCCCAAACCCCATTCACTTTGAAATCGCTAGGCAGGCAATTCTGTGGATGGCAGGATTATGTGTAAAATGATTGTCGATGTCGTCTCATGTCGCCAAACCTGCTAGCCTCAACCTTCACAAGATCCGCGGGTGTTCCAACAAATCGCCAGGAGCCAGGCTGTCTTTAAGCCCGTTCTTCACCCATGGCTGATAGGGAGAAGGGCAGTGCTTAGGATATACCGGTAGGGGGAGAGAAGAAGTTGCTAAGGGGGGGTTGTCTGTGAAGTACTCGTGGAGTACTCCTGCGCGGATTTGGCGGGAAGAAGAGGCAAGAGATTCGATGGTGGTAATGTGTCGGGGATTGGAGAGTCATGACTTCGCGGTAGATCAAGCGTCTGATCTCAGGGGGCAAGGAGATGAAAGGAAACTTACGCTGAGAGAAATATATATTGATCCACAATGGAAATTTAAGGTGTATATGCGTGCAGAAGGTATGGGGAGGTCATTAAGGACCCCAATTCAGATATCTCGCGAGTGTAGCAACCGCTACAGTAATGGCCATCTTCGCGGAGGACACGCCACATTTTTCTTCTGCGCTGGGAACCAGGTCTGTTTTCCAGGCATCTGAGGTATCTGGTTGCGCCTGGAAGATGAACATGCTTCTTGAAAGCTCGATGGAGCACATGTTGGGTCATTGTGAGTATGTTGAAATATAAAAGGTCGTCGATAGTATATAGATGTTATCAATGGACAAGATCATCGTGAAAGTGAGCCGTCAAAGGTGGTTGTCGGCAAAGGTAGAGATGTCTTCGATGGTAGTGATCCTCGCAACAATAAAGTATACCGGCATCTACATCGTCTTTGTGTCAGCAAAGGCCTCTATTTCTTATGACATCCTTGAAACAATGGCCGTACGTACCTCTCCGCTTTCAATGGACACTTCGAAGATTATGGTAGGTATTACACGCTTTTGGAGAAATACAGTCAGCTGTAGCCTCTTCCACAGATTGATAACGAGTAGAATACTTCTTATATATAAAACACTCTAACCCTTCCTGCATCGAATGCAACCTGGTTGGACGAGTAGTGTAGTGTGTAGTGCGGTGCCTAGTCCTGCCCCTTTATCAAGACCGTCGTCTCTGGCTTTCCATGAATTGTCAGCATATGGTTGCCATCACCAAACTGTTTGATTCACGGTTCTGCTTTGTTAGATATCCAACCACAAGCATCGTAACACATTAGGAAGCACAAATAACGGAAACCACCAAGCTTCCGTTATACACGGCCATAGAGAACAGTCTCTAGTCGTTTAGGGTTGCTTGTCAAATGAGGTGTATTCGCTAGGGGGTGGCTTGGCCATGAACGCAAACGCTTGCATGCCTTTGCCATATCCAAATAAAAAAAGATAACTATACAACACCTAACTTTTGTTTGATGAAATCATGCTCAATGATGATGCCCAAACTGCGTGAGAAGCGGTAATAGCATTCCCAAGACAGTAAACATTGTGTCCCTCAGCGGTTTTGGCTGCCTCCTCTGCTGCGAGCTGCTTCCGTCTGCGTACCCGTTACTGCTTGAGTGATGGTCGTGGGAGTTGCTGTCTTCTTGCATGGCGTGCATAGCCACATACCTGAATATCGTCAGTCAGCCAGCCATCCATCAATTATCATAGCACAACTCCGAAGGAGGAGGGGGGCAGACTCACAAGAACGTCCCCGCGGAGAACAACAACAACATGCCCGTCCACCACTGCTCACCTCGGCTCCCTTCTGTAGCTACCTGACCACCACTTCCACCCAGGAACAACTCGACGATACAATACGTCACCAACGCTCCTACGGGGGCAGCGGCACTAAACACAATCAAGTGTCCCCTCGCCGCCCGCTTCGACAGCCCCTGCCTCAGCAAAACTGACGTCAAGCCAAAAGCTGCTGGGGCTTTGTGCACCATGATGGCCACAAAGATGATCAATCCTAGACGCATGTCCTCCGTGGTGGCGCTGGCTCCCATGGCAATGCCGTCGGCGGCGGCGTGGATGACCAATCCCACCGTCGTTGCTAGCGTGCGGGCCTGTTTCGGCGAGGGGCTGAGGAAGGAAGAGAGGAAGCCGTCGGTTTCGGAGGATCCGTCACGGCCTTCGAGAACGGATTCGGAGATGGAGGAGGTCTCGAGGTTGTCGAGGGAGATGTGTCGAGTCTGCGGGGTTGAAGAGGAAGAAGAGGAGAAGGCGTGCTGCGGGAGGCGGTCGATGAGGAACATGAGGGCGAAGCCGAGGGTTAGAGAGAGGCCGATCTGGAATGTCGGAAGAGAGTTCTCGTGGTGGTCATGGCCGTCGTCATCCTTTTCGGCGGTGGGGTTGGTGGACATTTGGAAGCTGGATTTTGTGTCATCCTTTGGCCCTTCATCCCTTTTGTCGTGGAGGTTCTTGAGGATTTGTTCGGCGGTTACGATCTTGTGTGTCTTGATATGGGGGATCTCGTCGCCATTGCCGTCCCTAGCCTCCAGATGGTTCCCTGAGATGTGCCAGTTGACAGTTTGTACTGGGGATCTCCCTCTGACTCCCATGAGACTGCGCCTCGCAGCAGCGGCATTGTGCGAATGTGCCGACTGGACGGTATTGGTTGTCGCGACCGCTTCGATGCCTTCGGGGATGATGACGATGAGGGAAGTGCCGACAAGAATTCCAACACCGATGCTGGATATCAATCGTAGTTGAGATTGCGATAGGCTCAGGGATAGGGGGAGTGCGCCGGCGAAGAAGGAACTATTCCGTGGTTCGATGTCAGTTTGCGCCCAGCGGCAAAGACAGCAATTGAGGATGGACGTACGCCAAGGCCATGACCACCTATGTGTGTATGGGACCAGGTTAGCTTCCAGCTATGTTTCTGTTAGGATTGGGTAGAGTATACTATGGTGACGTACACAGAGGGCCAGGAGGATGAGCAAGTTGCCCATCTTGGAGGTTGTGAAGCTGGAACCAGACTGGAGCTTGTGAGGAGACAGAACTAAGATGTACAACTGTTGTTTGTTGTTAAAGTCATTGGCGCATATAGAATAACCAGATGACGATGACCTCAAGGCGCGCCGCAAGATGAAGGAGGTCAGGACAAAGAGACTGAGCTAGTCCAAGAGGGAGGGAGGGAGGGCAATCGACAACCAAGGAAGGGAAGGGGTTGATGTTGTTCAAAGAAATATTTCCGTTGGAGTAACACTGGGGGGAAACACCCGGACCTACCTCCCGTCAGCCAAGACCTCTGCAGCAATCCGCCGCGGTCACCTCAGCCAAGCAATGCCAAACGCCCTGACACCTAACGCCCTAACAATGGGGGCCTGCCAAGTCAACTAGATTCAGTTAATGAGGGGTCTTTGCTAGGTTGAGCCGCCATGAGCTTTCAGGTTGAACCGGGAGCTATCTGTAAGACCTAACCTTTGGTAAGCAGGTTTCTGGAAGCACGAGTCAAGAATCCCATTCGATATCCTGACAACATGGCCCACAGTGTATCTCGATACCAAAGTGTGAAACAATCCTGTCGACATGTCTGGTTTCACAGTCACCTCAAGCCGTTGCATGGAAGAGCACAGCATCCATTAATCAGGGCATCTGTTGGTGGTTGGGCCGCTATCAAGCTGTTACTATGCGTTTAGCAGCCACAACAGCCCAGGGGCCCCTAGCCCACGCTAACAACCTTAACCGAGAAGGAAGATCGGCAGTGGAGTGATGGCCCAAGCTTTCAATTAACGATCGATACGCGTTCGCCAACCGCGACTCTTTATCCTTTGCGACTTTGACTTCTTGATCAGATCATCTTCCTTTTTGACCAGACAACGAGCCTCACCTTTTGACCCAACACAATCACTCGGCGTAACGGAACCTTCCACCAGACACCAGCTTTATATCAGTCAAATATATCACGACAGAATTACCACATATCCCAAGCACGCGACCACGAAGCTTTGTGTGTTCATAACACCCCCCCTCCCCCTCCCCCGCGCAGCTTCCCCGCCAGATCCCCAGCTTCGGAAACTCCAGATCCATCACCATGAGCGGAGACGACGATTGTAAGCTCCAACAGCCCCCAAACAATTCTCAGCGCTGGAGCCGGAAAAGCAAGCTGACTTGACATAACAGGGTGGACATCTTCCAACGAGGCCCTCCTGGTCTCGCTCGTCACCCCCTCCGACACTGGCGTGAAAACACTGGACACTTTCCACCCGGAATACACAAACAACATCTTTGGCGAGAAAGAACAAATCTTTGGCTACAAGGGTCTTCGCATTAATCTGCAGTATAACGCCAGTGACATGCTGCCCAACCTCAAGGTGTCCTACAAGAAAAAGTACCAGCCCACAGCCGACGAAGAAGCCCTCGACGTTAACGAGGTCCTGTCCGAGTTCCTCCCCGAAATTGCCTTCGAGAAGCAATCCGACTTTGAAACCCGGCTCAAGTCCATTCCCGACAACTGGACCCCGCCCGGAACTCTCATCACAAGCTTCAGCAACAAAGATGGGGAATACCAAGTTTACAGCGGCAAGATCACAGACCCTGCCGTCAAGCAGCTCCTCAACCGCATCCAAATTCTCGTTCCCTTCTTTGTCGACGGAGGCACCCCTATCGACATGGAAGATCCCGACGTCGACCGATGGACAATCTATTTCCTCTACAACAAGCGTCCTCTTCCCAACCAGCCCGACCAATTCTCCTACCATTTCGCCGGCTACAGTACCCTCTACCGGTACTATGCCTTCCAACCACCCGCAGAGTCCGAATCCAAGACCCCGACCGATACCCCGACCTTCTCTGTCGACGGCAACTTCGACCTCGATACTCTCCCCTGCCGTACCCGCATCTCCCAGTTCATCATCATTCCGCCCTTTCAGCAAAAGGGCCTCGGCTCGCGCCTCTACAGCATCATTTACCAGCAATACCTTAAGCACGAGCCTACCATTGAGTTGACGGTCGAGGACCCCAACGAGGCCTTCGATGACATGCGCGATCTCGCCGACCTCGCATTCCTCAGCAAACAACCCGAGTTCCAAGCGCTCAAGATCGACACCAGCGTCGAGATTCCCGAGGAAGGCAAAGCACCCAACAATATTGTCGACCAAGCAGCCTGGGAAGCCTGCCGAAAGAAGTTCAAGATTGTGCCCCGGCAGTTTGCCCGCGTGCTCGAGATGTACCTGATGTCCCAGCTTCCCGAGAGCGTCCGGCCAGGTTTGGGTGCTCCCGAGGATGATGACTACGAGGAGCAGAGCGGTAGAAGCAAGAGTAAGGGCAAAGAGAAGGCCCTGCCAAAGCCCACCCCCGAAGACGAGCATACGTATAGGTTATGGATGATGCTCGTCAAGCGGAGGCTATACGTGCACAACAGGGACGCGCTGGGCCAGCTGGAGCTTAAGGAGCGCAGGGAGGAGCTGGCCAAGGTTTTTGCCGGTGTGGAGTTTGATTATGCTCGGTTGCTGATCAAGGCTGAGGAGCAGAGCAAGCTGGCTCAGGCTGATGGTGAGACTGCGAGTGATCAAGTGCCAGCTACTCCTTCTGCTGCTAATGGTAAGCGCAAGTTGGACGAGGTTGAGCAGACGGAGGAAACAGCTGCTGCGTCGAGCAAAAAGGCAAAGGTCGAGAACGGAAATGCATAGAGTCTACCTCTCTACCCATGTCCAAGTCCCAAAGTACAGGAGGGATGGGTAGTCAATGATATCTCTTGAGGGGTTGAGCATTGAAAATATGGCATTTTTTCCCCGTATGATATGAGGTGGTATCTGCAATGCATACTAGCCTAAGTATGCTTGGGGTGGATGTCTTGCACATAGGTTGAAAATAGCATTGTTGGTGCGAGCATATATTTTTTCCGGTATGACTCTAATTGTTGTTTATTTGTACATATTGAAGGGGCGTCTGGCGCCTTTTTATGTTCTCTAACTATCTATGAACCTCAACCCATTCTTTCTGAGGGGGTTGGAGGTAAATAATGACATGAACCTCTGTGTGCTGTTCACTATCTACTTGTCTCTCTACCTTTGGTATTTCGGTTTCGAGACTTTCCAGCTTTTCCGTCCAGGGGTAGGCTTTTACCAACACCGTCTAGGACCTTCCTTCTGGCAGACCCCACTCTATATCCTCACCTCCCCTTTTCTCTGGGGCTCTAATGCCTAGTACCATTGACATTCTTCGCACCCCCTCCTCCCAACAAGCTTGCAACAACCGTCGCCTCCCTAACCGCCCTCGCAACCGCTGCCCTAACCCCACCCTCCTCCAACACCAGCAACCCGCCAATCGTGCACCCGCCTGGCGTGCTCACCTTCTCCCTCAAGATCGCCGGATGCTCTCCCTCCAGCACCAACCCAGCAGCACCCCTCATGGTCTGCGCCGCCATCCTCGTCGCCTCCGCCCTAGGCAACCCCATCGCCACACCTCCATCCGCCGCCGCCTCCATCATCAGCGCGAAGAACGCCGTGCCCGAAGCACACAAGCTGGTGCACGCATCCATCAAGTTCGGAGGCAAATACACGACCTCGCCGATCCTTTCAAAAATCCACGTCAACAGCTCCGTGATGCTATCCGGGAGAGGGGGATCAACCGTGTTAATAACCGTCATGCTTTCTCTGATCTTGCTGGCCGTATTGGGCATCGCGCGCACCACAATCGGCAGGTCATCGACGGAAAGTCCGACGTCCTCGCGCAAGACCCGTTCCAGGTCCGGAACCGTCACGCCCGCGCAGATGGAGATGATGATCTTTTGGGACCGGGCGTGGCCTTCGGCGTGCTTGACGGTTAGGGCGTCCTTCATGCCGGATGCGGACAAAAGGCCAGAGACCATGTAGGGCTTGCATCCGAGGAGGATGATGTCGGCTTCGGCGGCGGCGGAGACGTTGGATGTGGATTGGAGGACGCGCAGAGTAGAAACGGAGGGCTTGACGAGCGGGGAGAGGGCGGATTCGACTTTGGCGACGGAGGATTGGGAGCGCACGGTGGCGATGAAGTGGCGCGGGAGGGCGGGGGGGTTGGTGGGTGGTGGAGAGGGGTCTTGGGCGATGGAGGAAAGGGAGGAGAGGATGCCGGAGAGGATGGAGATGCCCATCGTTCCTGGACGAGGGTTAGTACCATGTTTGACATTCTTTGGGTGAGGGAAAGGGGTGTGACGGGCGTGTGAGTGAGTGCGATTTGGGAATGATCACTTACCGCAGCCGAGAACGGCCATGGTGAGCTCGGAGGAGCTCTTTACTTGAGGAGCAGCCATTCTTGTTGTTGTGTGTTGTGGGTGGTGATTTTGAGAAATTGAGTTGAGAGTGTAAAGGTACGACAGTTGATATTTATTCTGATCTTCCAGAAGAGGAAGAGAATAAATAAATGAGTTGGTTCCTGTCGGGGAGATAAGAAAAAGGTCGATCAGTAAAGTGAGAAGACGATCTCGATGAGGCCCAAACCGGGAACTTATTCATCGATCCTGAGTTGTGATATCACTTTATCGGTCAGTGGAGAATTTGCCCGCTGTAACTCCGCTGTAAATAGACCCCACTAGGACCCCGGTATCACTACCACACAGTACCAAGAGGACTAGCGCCTCGTTAACATGCTCACCGCCTGCTATATGCGGGTTAGTGTGGTTACCCAAGTTCAACGTCCTTTCTTCTTTTTGAATGCTTCTCGTGTTGTTGGCGACGACGACCTTGAAATGCTTTCGTGTCTGTCATATTCATGGATTCCGTATTCACTCGAAATTTCAAGTCAAAGTTGGCGTCAGTTGCAGAACTGTGTGATTTTTCAACATTAGAAGCAGGTATAGATGGGCAGGTTATGCAAGCGCATTTAAGCAATGCAGCAGATGATAAAAGTATATAAACATCGGGCAAGGTGAACAATTGGGGTAACTCAACTACATCCATTCACTTACACCCGAACAACAACTTAACCCATAGCGGTTTCAGTCACACCAGGATCCCTTTTTTCCCACCCCGACTACATCACTTACAACTAAAACATCTCCAACAACTACCAGCATCTAGACGCAAAACAACTTACATCACCCAAAGAGCAAAAATGGCCGACCCTTTCGAGGTGCGCATGCGCTTCACAAACCAGCTCCGCCAACTAAGTGCCTCCGTGACATCCTCGCAAAAGGCAGCACAGTATGCTCTCCGACACAAGGATCTAGCTGAAGATTTGCACTCTTGCATTCTGGAGCAGCTTGAGAGGGTGTGTTTTCTTTTATCTTCATGTTTGTCCAGTCAATCAATTATTTCGGGGAAGACGAGTTGAGCTGGTGTCAAACCATCCAACCTCCCCCTCATCGGCTCATCCCTTCCTCCCCCCC